TCAGGATGGAGTGTGGAGAATACTTTGGGTTCTTTAGAATGAGATATTTGGCGTCTATGCATACATCTTAACAATAGCTTTGACTTCAGGATGACTTGCTAGCCGCCAAATGTCCTGAGGTGATACAAGTTGTATAGATACATTTATATTGAATCTAAGTGAACATTTCAAACATTTAATAGCATATTAAAGAACTAATGTTATAAGACGTCATTTTGTCGCACGAGGACAATTTATAAAACGAGCGACCATGAGTTCTTTATTTTATCTATTAAATTATCTATTTAAATTTTTTGCGACGTGCCAATTTTTCGAACAAGTTTAACATTGTAACATTCTTCTTTTTCTTCCTTGGTGGCCAAAGGCCTTAATGGTCTCGGTTTCAATTACCATTACCCATACACAGTATAAAAATTTAGGCCGTGTATTAAAATAAATCAAAAGGGTAGAAAAACTTATTGCGAGTGTTTATTACCCCTTAATGTGTTAAATAGTGACAAAATGTACACTACAGTGCATGCCAATTTCTTTGTCTGTTTTGATGTTACTAAGAGCTCTTTTTTCTTTACACTACTAGTGCACATTGTATCACAATTAAAGTTAAATTACACCAATAGTGGCAAAATAGACTGAAAAAACTGGTAATAACCGAAATGCGTTTTAAAATGTTTGGTTGGTACCTATCTACCTACGCAGTGCATATCCGAAGATACCGCGTTTTGGAAGTGTGGCATTTTTGTTCAGTTAGATTTTAATTACGGAGAATCCATAACAGGACATTCTTATTTTTTGGTTAGTATTATACTTCCTTTTTCTTTAAGACCTAATACTCAATAAATACCAATATGTTAAAAGGATGTCCATACTCGACATATATCAATAATTTACGGCAGTAGGTCGGGTACTTCTAACATTAATATTATAAATACATACACACTTGATTTACTTTTTATTTTCAAGCGTAATGGTTGTTATATTAACCTATACCTACATTTTTATTAATATTATGGAAAATTTGTACACGTGTGGTAAATCCCCGACATACTGCCGCCTGACGCCTCTCTACCAATGGGATCACCCATTTTTATAACAGAAAAATGGATCACTGATAAATTCTCAAGTTAAATTCATGGCTTACCAAGTTGACAGCCAGTAGAACATTGCATTGATCTAAAACTTTTACGTTTTAAGGAACCATTTTGCTTAAGCTAACCATACGCCTCAAATATAAAATTATATTTTAAAATAATAATAATAATAATAATAATAATAATAATTTTATTTTCACAAATTAGAGCTGATTACATACAATCACAGGTAATAAACAACTTTGAAGATGAAGAACGTCAAGCTAAAAGAAACAAAAAAAAAAACAAACAATATTAAGAAAAAAAGAACAGAGAACTAACAGCTACAAAAGGCACCGATTTTGATAATTGTCATAGATTTTTGTTCCAAATAAATGTTTCTCCTTATTTACCTTTTCGTTTTATTAACTACCTCCAATAGGTTTTACTCAAATAGTGTTAATTTACACTAGAAGTTTGCACTAAAAGAGTAAAAATACCTTTCTAAAATTAGAACTTTTCCAAAGAAGTGTTAATTTACACTGAACAAAAGTGGGATAGAAGTACACGGTTTTAGGTAAATTAACACTTTTTAATACAGTGTAAAATTACTTTATCCTCAGTGCTATAAATCATACTTGCTTACTTGGGAAAAATTACACTACAAATAAACTATAATAGTGTTATAAAACAACACTATTTAGTGTGGACCTGTGTGAACTCTAATTAGTGTTGCTTAGAGTTGATTTTTTTTACTGTGTAGACACGTGAATTTTCCAAATCTTGGATCATCCAATGTATTGTACAAATCACAAAATACCTCGCTAGAAGGTTAAAGTTTGCGATATTGTCCAGAAATAAAGGTATATTTCTATAACCGGAATCCAATTTTGTCCCTCCTGGGTAAAAGTGCGATGCACTACATACGAAAGACAAAATCGAACTGCATTGTAACCTATTTTTATCATTTTAAATATTTAAATGTTGGTATAATCAAGAGATAATCTTTTGAATAAAACATCCAAAGAAACGTCCAAAGTAATTTTTCGGTCATGTGTGTTTGATATGAGAAGGAGCACACACATTAGATAATTAGGAAGAAGGCCGCGGTATTCATCAAGTTGCAAACTAAGGGTGGTCCGTGGAGCATATAGCAACCATACTCTGCTCTCTCTCTCTCAGATTTAGGATGAAAGAGATTTTGCATGTGTGTCCAGCAGGCCGTGCTCACGTTCCGTGTGTCTTAAACTTTAAGATCCTCTTCTAAGGGGATGTTGCGGTTTCTCCCAAACTTTGATGCGAGACGTTTCGTGTTTTAATTGGAATTTTACTAGCCATGCGGGTCACTTCTACAGCCGCCCGGCTAATCATAAAGGTTGTTTGTGTGTGCTCTCTTCAAAGAATCCAGCAGTCTTTGTAACGTAAGAGCATTAAGACTACTTAGGGATAGTCTTCATTCACCTTTAATGCCTTTAATGCAAATATCTTATCTTAATATTACCACCACGTTAAAAAATATAATGATTTCATTTAAGTCAAGATTTTATTTTTTTATTTATTTGAGGAATTTAGTGGATATTTGTATTTTTTAGTTACACTGTTAAAAATTTCTATTGCAATTTTACTAAACATGTTTTAAAATGGTGTATTGTAATTATACTATACAATTCATTTCAACTCAGTTTAAAAAAATTACAAAATATATATACATATATATTTTACACTTTCTTGACCCATTACTGTAAAGATTAAAAAAAAAATGAACCTTCACCTCGCCAGAGTTTTTGTCAAACTTTAACTAAACTGCGCACCACTCAATGTGTCGCGACCAAAAAGTTCGTTCTTTTTCAAAACGACATAACTTTTTTGTTTCTTGAACGATTTTATTTTGGTTTGTGATGTCTGCTAGCCCCATTCTCTGGCAATTCATGCTATAGATATGAAGCTCACGGTTCTTCAAGTAAATTTACTACAGGGTGATATGTAAAACTGTGAAAAATTTCAATAACTTCATTCAAGACCCGTTTGTAAAATAAATATTTTTTTCTCGTTTTTACTTTGAAATAATAAAGTTTTATGTCTTGAATCGTTTTTAAAATTTTTCGAATTGGAATCTTAGCAACAAAAATATGATTTTTTTTTCAATGGAGTACATTGGCATTTAATTTTCATCACTTGATTATTGATTTGATCATTCAGTGACATGATAATAACGTACTAAAAATGCAAAACACAGTAAAAAAACAGTAAAATCCAGCAATCAGATTTTATTGAGACATTTAACATCCAGGAATTGTTTTCGAATTTTGATTCTTGGTGATTTTGGTTTTATCTGAAACTTAAATTTGACAACTGAATCACAATCAGGTCAAAATTATGAAGAAAATATTTCACGAACGTAAATATCAGTTCAGGTTTAGTTTTCGAAAATTTTCACCAAAATGTAATTTTGAAAAAGTGGTCTTTGCTTAGGTTCCTCTGAAAATAATGGAAGTTTGTTGCTTGTCGCTTGTTCAGAATTACACAGCCACACAAAAAAAAAAAAGTCAGATACTTTTTACGGGACATATGTATTTCTATGTATTTTGACTCGCTGAATCCGAATCCGAGGTCAAAATAGGACCTTTCACGATTGGTTTTCGACATAACCTCAAAAAACCGGTTTTTCAAGTATAGAATGGCGAAACAAAGTTTCATTTTAGATTTCAAGCTGCTGAATTCATATATAGTATCAGTTTTGTGATATGACAAGAAAATCTAGAACATAACCTCAAAACATAATTGTCTGAGCAGTGCTTTGCAGGACTGAGTGAGATTTGTGTACTTTCAGGCAGATGGGATGAAAATATGATGGCGGACTACTGTTGGATGTTGAAAAGAGATTTGCCTCAGAACAAAAGAAAAATGCCGTTACGCAGATCTTTCGAATCCAAAAGAGTGCGTTATAATAAAAACTAATAGCTCTTTTACTATCAAAAGTCAGTGGTATGCAGAACTATATAGAAACCATCTCATTCGCAGACAGCTATCTAATCAACTGCTCTAAATTCTACTAATCCAATAATAAAAGTATGTTAGGTTATGATTTAGATTCTATAGTTATATTATAAAACTGATGCTATATATGAATTCAGCAGCTTGAAATCTAAAATCAAACTTTGTTTCGCCATTCTATACTTGAAAAACCGGTTTTTTGAGGTTATGTCGAAAACCAATCGTGAAAGGTCCTATTTTGACCTCGGATTCGGATTCAGCGAGTCAAAATACATAGAAATACATATGTCTCGTAAAAAGTATCTGACTTTTTTTTTGTGTGGCTGTGTTATTCAAGGAACAATCTTTCACCATCTTATCTTTTTTATCTTAAAAAGGTTCAGTGTATTGCCTACAGCAAAAGCATCAAATGCTCTTTTGAAAAAAAAATCATATTTTTGTTGCTAAGATTCCAATTCGAAAAATTTGAAAAATATTTCAAGGTAAGACATAATACTTTATTATTTCAAAGTAAAAACGAGAAAAAATATTTTTTTTTTACAAACGGGACTTGGATGAAGTTATTGAAAGTTTTCACCGTTTTACATATCACCCTGTAGGAAATTTACTTGAAGAACCGTGAGCTTCATATCTATAGCATGAATTTCCAGAGAATGGGGCTAGCAGACATCACAAACCAAAATAAAATCGTTCAAGAAACAAAAAAGTTATGTCGTTTTGAAAAAGGACGAAATTTTTGGTCGCGACACATTGAGTGGTGCGCAGTTTATTTAAGTAGTAAAAAATAACTATTTAAAAGTGAAAACTACTATTTTATTAGTAAAATAGTAGAATTTTGACTATTTCGTTTTAAGAGAGTGAATAAAAAATAAATCGGCGCCCCATAGAACAACAAAGAAACGCGACAGAAATGATTTAATAAGAGATTTTATTTTTTAGGCTTACTGTCGAACGAAAGTTCCTCCACCTGACCCGCCGCCCTTGGAGGCGCCACCTGCCACCCGCATAGAAGGTAAACATTAAAAAGTTTTTAAATCTTTTCAATAACCCCCTCACCCCGCTTTCCCGCCCACTCCTGCACCCAGGTAATGCTATTATGCTCTTATTTCATTTCCGAAACGAAAGCAACGAGAAGAAGTTTCGGGTGCCCGGGAATTATTATTAAGAATCGAAAAGAATGTATCTTTACAGTGAAATTTCATCTGTGAACTTTTAAAAAAGTTTTCCTGCCGAAAACAATCTTAATACCGGGAATTCGTTATTTAAAAACGAACACGCTTGATGAGCGAGCAAATTTTTCAGGGTTTTTTTGTAAAAAGAATTCCGTCATTATAATATTATCAGAAAGTTTCAAGGAAACTTTGTTGTCTGGCTGATAAAAATAGCTGCTAGTGAGGAAAAGTTTTGGGCTGATAAATACAAGAGGTAATAGTTTGGGAGCTTTTATTATAGTTTACAAAGTAAAAAAAAAATTGTTAATTTTAACCAAATATTAACCAGATTGGTGTAAACGATAATAAAATTGAATAACTTGGTTTATTTAAGTCTTTTTATATTTTAAAGCATATTTTAATTTCAAATGTAAAACTAATAATTCGTTAAATCCTAAAATTCATTATATTTTCTTACTAAATATAACTCGTGGTATGATTAATAATCGATGATATTTACTCATTGAAACCGAAATTCACTTGTTATATTATAAGTGAGAAACATTTTTTTTTTTTACATTTTTTTTAAATGAATAAATTGTTTTACATTTTTTAATTTCAAGTGGAACATGATTATATAATTTAATTGCCATTATCATAGGGCTCTGGGCTGTAAGACACAGGTCATGTTTTGTGATTAAAATTTCATTGATAAAATTAAATTGTAGAAAATGTTTCTATCAGTGAACCTTATAATAGTATATTATGTATCAAGTTCGATAAACGCCATTTTATACACGAATTTAATTTAGGCACGAGCGAGCTTGCGAGCGAGTGCTTAAATTAATGAGTGTATAGAAAAGTTTATAAACGAGGTGTATACTATACTTTTTCTACGACAAATGCTTATTATTATCTTAAAATGATTTAAATCAAATTTTTATAGAGCGCCATCTATGAAACAATAGGGGAATCTGTGTGTCACCGTCAAATGTCAATTTTTTTTATTTAATAACCACAATTATAAAGGTTATAAATCGAAATGTATTTCTTGAAAATTGACAGTTTTTTACAGTGAAAGTAAAGAAAATGTTTTATGAGCACTTTACAGTAGAGTCCGTGTCCGAATTTAAGTTATAGTTTACTGCCGGCGAAATTAAAAGGTCAGTACAATGTTCATATAAACTTTTCAAATATTGGCGTTGAGAAACTATTAATTACTTTTGTATTTTTGTATTGAGATAATAAAATAATTTTCACATTTAGTATTATTTTACAAGAAAGGCAATTTATTTTAACGATTGTATGACATTTGACAACTGTCAATTAACTTAAAACTAACTTAAGCCCGTGACTAAAAACCTGTTGCTAACTTTAGCCCGTCACTAAAGCGCCATAAAGCCACAACTTGTCAATGTGTATTTTAAAGATCACTTAGTGTCATGGAAACATGTACGATAAAGGGCGTTTTAAAGGTGGAAGTAGAAAAATTTACTTAATTTTTTTCGGACATATAGTAGACTGGACAAAATGTACAAGGGCACTACTGGTAATATTCCAAGCTGGTTAAATAATCCTCTACATGGGTGATATTTGTTTTTAAACATTATTGTTCTTATGATTCATTTTTGACTCCTTAAAACATTGCTAGCTTTATTAGAGTTACCCCAGCAAACAATGCCATAACTCAGTAGATAGTTAATCTGGGCATAATAAAATCTTTTTATTGTTTCTATTGGAATGATATCCCTTAAATGATATAATACAAAACATTTTGATGAGAGTTGTTTTATTAGGTTTTCAATGTGAACATTCCACCTAAGTGAGCAGTCAACATGGACTCCCAATGATTTAACATTTTTGTTTTCCGTGACCAAAATAATTTGTTGATATTACAAAATGTGTTCATACAATCAGTATATTTTTCTGCCATTTTTTAAGATCTACACTTTTCCTAGCGCCTATAGTAACTACAGTATCGTCAGCAAATAGTGATAGCATATTATTGTTAATTAGAAAGTAGTTTTCAATGTCATTCATAAATATGATGAATAAAATTGGTCCTAAAGTACTACCTTGAGAAACTCCTATTGAAACATTTCTCAACTTAGAACAGTGGCTCTTTCCTTTTATGTTCAAGACAACCTCATGTGATCTGCCAGATAACTTGACAACCAATTAAGTAATTTTCTGAATTAACAATTCATGATTAACCATGTCAAAGGCACGAGTTAAACCAAAATAAATACAAGCAACATTATAACCTTTTTCTAAATTGAGTAATAAAAAGTTATATTTAGATAACAACGCGTACATAATTTTTCTCTGAAACCAAACTGCTTATTTGTAATTAAGTTATTTTTTTCTAAGTATGAGGACAGTTGATTACAATATGCCAGAGGGAAATGTTTTGATTGAGTGTCTCAAATCACGTGGACTTTTTTTAACGAAATAAAATAGTAAAAAAACCCTGGTTTTCTACAAAATAAATTTAACAAACTACAAACTCACGTTAACACATCTGATTTTTATAACAGTGTATTTAATAATTCGATCAGTTATTATAATTTGTGGAGAGAGGGTTAAATGATTAAAGGACAATTGAAACGACCTTAAAGCTCATGAGCTAGTCGGTAGTCGACATATAAGACGATGGGAAGTGCGGTTAAGGGTGCTCGATCTGCGAGGAGGAAGAAAGATTCGTTCCCCTTTGGGTGCTCGGCGTAGCCCGTGGCTTATTTCTATGTATTTATTCATATCTACGAGGCAGATGACGATATAAATAGCGTGGAAAGTCGCGTTTTCTATCTAAATCACGCCTTACAGCATATTGCGATGTGTGGCGAACCCTGCCATAAATTAAACTAAAATTACTTTATATAATTTCTACTGCAAATATATGAGATGTAGCGAGCACTGCAACCAGAATACTAATAAAATTATAATTTTGCAACTTTCGCAGACTCTCCTTGTGTCGGTTTTATTAAAGGAACCCGAACGAACGTATTTGCCTTTCATTTTGATGTCGCCTCAGATTTATGTATCTTTTAATTATAGCTATTTACTTGTTATAAAACCTATGGGATATATATACTTTAAATCAGACTTTTGAACAAATTTTAGTTGATGATTATGTGTTACATTTAAAATAAGAAAGTTTTTAGCTGTTGCAAGTTAGACTAATTTATATCCCTGGGTTTTCTCAGGTAATTTGTTAAAAAATGTTTTAAGATTGCAAAAATTCCACCCCCCTATTCGCAAACCTAATAACAAAAAAGTTACAGGCTATTTTTGATTGACGCGCATTTGTCAAACTATTATAATGATAATAATAATAATAATAATACTTTATTCATGCTTAAAAACAATACAAAATTGTGTGCACAAGTCGGGAACATAAATTAATAAATATATAATTATAAACTACACTAATTATAAATAAAAGATTAAATACAAGAAAATTCGTTGCATAATGAAGTAATGAATTCAACAAATATAAACAAGAAAATAAAAGAATTAAAAAAAAATACAATTAAAAAACATTAATAATCAAAACACTACATTACTATCACAATATTCCAAAAACTCTTTCGTGCTATAAAAACAATGCTCTAACAAAAACAATTTCAAAGAAGATTTCAATTTTTTTAGAGAATATTTTTTCCAACTAGGTGGAATCGTGTTGTAAAATATCACCGATTGGTATTTAAAAGACTGCTGCATTTTAGAAAGCCTGCATTTTGGCAGAGCTATCAAGCCTCTATTTCTAGTATCATGACCATGATGATCCCCCTGGCACTGATAGTCCTCAGAATTAGCATACAAGATACAGTCCAAGATATACTGACCACTAAGGGTCAAAATCTTCAGATCTTTAAAAATTGGCCTACAGTGATCAGTATATCCAGCACCATAAATAGTTCTCACAGCTTGCTTCTGCAAAAGGAAAACTTTGTAAGAATTAGAAGAATTTCCCCATGCCAAAATAGCATAAGATAAATGGCTATGAAAAACAGCAAAATATGTCATTCTGAGTACACTTCTCGATAATAGACTATGAAGTTGTCTGAGCAAATAGATGCTTTTTGACAACTTACTTAGTAAATTTAAAACATGTGCCTTAAAGTCCATTCTACTATCCAGATATATTCCCAAATATTTAATTGAGAGCTGTTTATTAAAAGAAGATTGTAAAGTAAAATACATGCTTTGGGATTTTTCCTCATTTAAAAGCAAACCATTATCAGCAAACCAAAGTTTGGCATCACTTGCTGCAGTCAGGGACTCCTCTTCAAGACAAGCTTCATCCTTGCTTTTACATAAAATTGTTGTATCGTCCGCATACATAAAAACGGAACCATTGTTTACAACAAAGTCATTCATAAAAATTATAAATAGTAAAGGCCCAAGAACAGATCCCTGCGGCACTCCAAATTTCATTTGAACAAAGTCGGATTTTATTTTATCAATTTCTACACATTGATATCTATCGAAAAGGTATGACCTAACTAGTTCAAGGGCATTCACTTTAAGTATAGGACATGGTATAGTAAAAATGTAAAAAGATATAGAGTGTTCTATTTAAAATAACAAGGTTAAACCGGGAGTGGATTGATTAAAGGGCAAAGTTCAACCCAGGACAAACACAAGTACCCATGCAACAAAGACTCCTCTAGGATGTCCAAGTGATTAAAGAGTAAATTTTTTAACCCCAGACTATTACCGAAGATGGACATTTAACTTTATTCCACCTATCCTACATCTGCTTTAGGGTCAATAACGGTTTTTCTTGAGATTGGACTTAGAAACTTAAAGAAACATTGTAAGTACCAAATCCTACTTCTGAGCCCTGCAAACACGT